GAAGGAAGGAAGGAAGGAAGGAAGGAAGGAAGGAAGGAAGGAAGGAAGGAAAAAGAAAAGAAAAAGAGTAAGGGAGAGAAGGAAGGAAAAAAGAAAGGGGGAAGGAAGGAATGAAAAGAGAGAGAGAGGGAAGGAAGGAAGGAAAAGGAGAGAGAGGGAAAGAAGAAAGGAAGGAAAAGAAAGAGAGGGGGAAGGAAGGATGGAGGGAGGAAAATAAAGAGACAGAGGATAGGGAAGGAGGGAGGGAGGGAGGAAGAAAGAGAAAGAAAGGAAAAAAGAAAGATTTCACTAAACAACCGTGAATGGAGCTTGCTTCTCCTGTACTAATCCTATGAAGTGCTATCTCCCTCTGTAGATCACCACTGCTCAACATCAGGACTAGTAGTCAATTTATACAAAGGCCAGAGAGGTTTGCATTTGACTGCAAAATTAATTTCCCATTTTTTTAAACAAATACATGAATCAAAACTTAGCTATTTGAAATTCATACTTTCCCAAATGTTGCAATGCAGTTTGCCAAGAATTACTTGAAAAGTTTAATGGGAAAAGATCTGTACAGAAATGCATATATTCATGAAAATAATGTAATATTTGTTATATTAGAAAGAACTGTTTGCAAAAAATGAATGTTCTGCAAAGCTGCAAGCAAATTTTGCGATGGGCAGCAAAATACATGCACATTTTAATGTAAACCTTAAAAAAATACTTGGGTTTGACAAATTGGATTTGGTGTATACTTAAGAATGAAAAACAGTGAAATTGTCAAGTTACCACATCAAAACGATGGCAAGGTTTTACATGGTTAAATTTTGTCCTCAAATTCTATACATGTTAAAAAAAAATCTTAATGAAATAAGTTGTAATTTCAGGGAAAACCCATTTTTTGTTAAGGCGGAGGGGTTTTTAATAAAAAAAAAGGATGCAAGAGAAAAGATTTAGTTTCACTTTTTATGGCATTGCCTAATTTTAGTTTTAAAAAGGGGGGTCCAAAAGTTCTTCAGAGCATACTGAATATCACCTTTTGAGTGACACGTAGTCTATAACTATGAAATGTTTCTCCCTTAATACCATTAACTTGTGGCACTCCTTTTTCTGGGTTGAATGAGACATGGTACTTTCAGCTAACTGCATGGCCAGCATATATACAATTTTTTTTAAAAAAAAACCAAAGTTAAAACTAAACCTAGTGTAGCACATTGTGTGAGCCCAACCCCTGGGTTTGTAAGAGTCCTGGTTAAACATGTCACGAACAACAAACAATCAGTCTCTTGACTGATGCCCAAAGTAACTTAGTTTATTTATTTTATTACTATCCCAACTTTACTTTGTAAAACCTCGGGTAGCTCCTGCCTCGTATTTTCCCAACAACAACCCTGTGAGGTGGGCTGGGCAGAGATGGAAGGCTTGGCCCAGAGTCACTCAGACAGTTTCCATGCCTAAGGAAGGATTGGGGTTCACAGTTTCCTGGTTTCTAATCCAGTTTTTTAATCATTAAACCAGTGTTTCTCAACCATGGCCATTTGAGGGCTAAGGAGTTGAATCCACACATCTTAAAGTTCCAAGGTGAATGGAATGGAATGGAATGGAATGGAATGGAATAGAATAGAATAGAATAGAATAGAATAGAATAGAATAGAATAGA